TCCGGTACCGGGAACCGAACTCACGACCTTGCGCTTGCCAGGCAGGCGCTTTGCCGCTGAGCTAAATCCCCAGCCCCTCACTGATTAGTTTTAATAGTGGAATTCACCAGAATCTCAAGGCATTATCTCACAGTTGAACCTTAATCCCTCGGTGTGATGTAGAATTTGGGCATGTCACTAGCACCTCCCAGTCTTAATTTTCTGGTACACAGGGCATCGTGAAGGTTTACCATATTATAGCTGTCATCTTCTCTTAATTGTTCCTGGGTCTCCAGTATCACTTCTTAGGGTCTTACTTCTGAGGACATAAATCAGCTCTTGACTAACATGCTTTTTCCTATGTCTTTTTTTTTTTTTTTTTACTCTCTCCAGCTTTGCCAAAGTCATGCACAAGACAGTGAAGGACCTGGCCCCAAAATGTGAAGTGTCCTTCCTGGAGTCAGAGGATGGCAGCGGGAAGGGGGCCGCTCTCATCACTGCCGTGGCCTGCCGCATCCGAGAGGCTGGACAGCGATAGGACCCCTGAGGTTGGCAGGGACATCACTGCTTCCCCTTTCCCTGTTTTAAGTTATATAAGGTGTCAACCCCTCGTGTCAGAGACAGGCCCCTTAGCTTTTCTTTGGCAGAAAGGACCCCAGCGGACTAGGTTTTGTCTCTCAATATGTTCACTGTAGCATTTGGTACCCAAGCCTTGCCTTTCCTGAGATACAGAGTAAGGATTTCTTCACGCTGGTCACAACCACTCCCACCGGTTGGCTTTTAAATGCAATCCTTTGTCATCCCCTGGCCAAATTTCATGTCGCTGTACAATCCTACGAGATGTGGACTGTCCTAAAGATGTGGTTGCCTCACCTTGGAGCTGAATGTGACATTTCTAGGTGGAGAGTAACCCCCTGCATGAGCAGGGACCTCCATTCTCCACTTAGAGGTGGGAGAGGTTTGCACTCATGCTGTGAGCCTGATCTTCCTGCAAGCAGACTTGGAAGGGCGGAGAGGTGGCAAGGGGAAAGAAATCTCATGAGTACCATGGGACATTCTTTCCTTGACATGTGTATGAGTGTTGCCCTGTGGATTCCAGCATTGACCATTCTGTAAGCAAGGAATCCCCCATCAGGCAGTGAAACCAACGCCAGGAGTCGACACATCGTGCGAGCGGATTTTTCTGCGTCTCACTGTGGGTGCGTGGATCCTACGTGAGCGTTGGACCTTCGGGGAAAGGGGAACCTTTGAGTTTATTTTTTAATATCTTCCTGCAAAAGTGGAAATATTGTATTTTCATTTTAATTTATGTGTGAAACTTACTTAGTTCATGAAGTAGGTCTGCTCTTCATTTTGTGATCGACTGTATGTAATATTTATATTTGTTAATTTGTTTTATATATATATATAGATAGATAGATAGATAGATAGATAGATAGATAAATCTACAAGGTATCCTCAGCCTTGGCCTCGGTAATAGATCAGTTTAGTTTAGGATGGCAGGTAATGACATTGACTAGCTCCTAGAAATACCTCATTGGCCTGCAGGAGGAGAAGGGAAGCCTCTTTGGGGTGAGTGAATGGCCAAGCGTCAGCTCTCTGGCTCCTCCCTCCCCTGCAGTCTTGAAAATGTATGGAAAGCCGGAATGGAGACTGAGGCTGGGCCCATGGACCGAGGAAACCACAGCAACTGGCTGCTCTGGCTAGAGGCTTTCTTGGCGCAATGTTACATGGGATGTGAACCGAAGGAAACCAAAGAGATCATTTCAAGTAGACTCACTGCCTAAAAGTCTGTTTTTATTCTCAGGGCAGTCAGTATATTAAAGCTGTCTGACAAGATAAAGGAAGCCACCAAAAGTTTAAAAAATTCTATCTAATTATCAACCTCAAACCAAAATGAAACAGTCAATGAACCAAACAAAACCCTCAGGGACAACAGTTTTGGTACGCTTGTGCCCTCCTAGCAAATTTCACCTTGAGTTTGTCTTGTAAATGTTTTACAAGAAGTGTGCTTCCCTGGGCTGAGCTGGCATTGGTCTACAGGCCTGTTTTTGTTTTTTTTGTACATGGTATTTATTTCATGGCAGAGATTGGAATGGCATAAGAGCCTCCAGATTACTACTTTTCAAGAGTGCTGTTGAATCTGAACCTGAAAGCACACTTACTTCTGCCCCAAAGTAGAAACAATCATTGACATTAAATCTGGATGCAGTATGGCAAAGAGGGGATGGCTTTGTGACACTATTAAATAAGATACAGAAAACAGGATCAAAACAGAAAAATGGACAGAAACTCACAACTTGGTTGTACCTAATTTTTGTTCATTTTCAAACTTGGGCTGAAAACGGTGCCCGGTGATCATTCTTGAACAAGGTGGGGTATAAATAAGTGAAAATAAATGGCCCAGATCTTCCTGGGAAGGAAACAGGGAGGGGACGCTTCCTCACTTGTTGCAGTCTGGTTTTGCCTGTCTGCATAAACTCCCCTGCCGCCCCCACCTGCAGTTATTATCTGAGGTGTGGGTTCCTTCCATTAGAGTGAAAAGTCAAAAGCCACCTGTAGACTTGTCAATCACTAAAGGATATCCATGAAATAGAGATGAATTTTAACTTACTTTTATTATGGAATTTTAACTTGTTTTTAAATTACATGTTTTAAATGTGTATGTGGCTATTACAGATGTGTCGTTGGTTTCTAAGCCAGAACTCTGGGCAGTGTGTGTTGACTGGGATCCCCTGGTTGCTGCTGCTCTGCTTGGTGTAAATAAAGTGTGTCTCAGTCTTTGCCTGGGGTGTACAGAATATGGGTCATCTCAAACCCTTAAGCCCTCGGTCTGGTGAAGATGTTGTCACTGTGTACAATAAAGAACTAGCTGAATTAACTATGTGATGTTAAATATTATTAATAAATTTTAACTTTTTTTCAAAATACTCAATGTGTCACCTGAGCAAAGTATTCAGTGTGCATCTTTAAGACTGTGGTTATGTTAGGGACATACTAGTACTTCCTGAACAATCTGATGGATAATTATGGATGTCTCGATTTTGAGTGTGCAGTCATCCCCCGGTGAGTGTGCATGGGAGAATGACTGTGGAACTCACCCAAAGATACCAAATCTGAGAATTTTGTGGAAGTCCCTCCTATAAAAAAAAGTAGTCTAGTATTTCCCTAGAATTTATATAAATCCTCTGTATAGATTATGTGTAATACCTGATACTACATAAATACCAAGTAAATAATTCTATTTACAAATAACGGCAACAAAAAGGGGTACATGTTTAATACAGATGCATTATTTATTTATTTGTTTATTATCTTTTTGAGATGGGGTCTCCCAATGCAGTTCAGGCTGACCTTGAGCTCACTTTGTAGCCCAGGCTGACCTTGAACTCACAACAATCCTCCTGCCTCAGCCTCCCGAGTGCTGGGATTACAGGCATGTGCCCCCACGCCCGGCTCAGATGCATTATTTTTCTGAATATTTTTGACCTAAGGTTGGCTGGTTGCATCCTTGGAACCTGTGGACACAGAGGCCAACTATCTATGTGACGGGCATGTGTGTGGTTAAGACATGACCTGGTCCTACACATTTTCATCCCCAGAAATCAGTCTTAGTAGAACTGGAAAGCTTTTCCTCTGAGTCCCTGATGTCAAGCACTGCTAGAGAACTATGGTTATCCCAGCATTTCTTGCTTAAGCTGCATGTCAGGATGTAATATCACCCCAGGGACTGCAGCCGGTCTCAGGAAGCAGATGTGATTCTCTTTCAGGATGTGTAGTTCTCAATGGGAACATCCTCAAGGCACTTGGCTGTGGCTTTTCCTGCTCCCCAATAAGAAAAAAACAAATCCGGTGAACTAATTTCCCAGAGGTCTCTGGTGATGGCCATTGACACTGATGCCCCTGCCTGACAGTGACTAAGGAAGGAGATGATCAATACAAAGAGGATAACAGAGCCAACAGGCCAGTTGTGGTGGGCACACACCTGTAATCCCAGCGCTTCGGAGCCCTGGAGGTGGAGGATCACTGTAAGAACAAGGCCAGCTAGAGCTACATAGTGAGTTCAAGGCCAGCCTCAACTACATAGCGAGACCCTGTCTCAAAACAAAACAAAAATCAAAAAAGAAACCAACAGGTATGATTTTTTTTTTCCCCTACTGAAGGCAAAATCACAATTAGATTTTGAAAGTATGAATTGGTACACTCCTATTGTATAGTAGAGGGAACAGCAATATGCATCCAAATCAGGTTTTGTGGAAATTTCTAGAAATCTGTGCCAAGGAAATGTGCATACATGGGGACTAAGGGTTTGACTATAGTATGGTTCATGCATAACAGCTAAAAAGAGACATTGTCTATAAAATGAGTCTGCCCAACCAGTTTCAAGGTCTACTCAGGAAAACAAGTCACTAAAGTTATTTCAAACATTTTGTTTATGAATTCAGGCTGGCTTTGAACTTGCAATGATCCTCCTGCCTCAGCCTCCTGAGTGCTGGGATTGCAGGTGTGTGCTACCACACCCAGCTTAGATTTTCTTCTTGTCATTCCATACAAAAAACATAATTCCCGCTAATAAAGAGTATAAGAACTCTTCATGTTGTGTTAGGTATTGTAAGTCACCTAGAGAGGGTTCAGGCTATTCAGGAGGATGGTATAGGCTACATGCAAATACACTTTTATATAAGTGACTTGAGCATCTATGGATTTTGGTATCCCAGCAGGTCCTGGAATCAATCCTACTTAATACCAAGGGAAGATTGTATCATGGTCCTATTTTCCTTAAGAACAATGAGTTATAACACAGAAGGTGTTCCTTCTTGGGACTCCCCCAGTGTCCCCTGTCTTACTGAGCTGCGGTGGAGGTCACAGCCTGCTGTTTTAGCAGCTGTCCTCACCTTGCCCGCCCAGGCTGCGTCCCAGCCCTGCGCCTCATCTACCAGCCTCTGCTCAGCACAGAGCTGGCTCCTGTTCCCTTGCCCCCCCGTTCACTGCGGCCCCCCGAAAGCATCAGAGCACCTGGGGCTCTGGAGTAGGCACTGACACTTGATTCCCCACAGACACCTGTGTTGGAGGAGACGCCGAGTGGAGGATCTTGTCGGTGTGTAATTTAAGATGGGTTCGTGCAAGATGAGCGCCTCACTGCCCAGCGCTCTCGGCTCACGTTTGCTGGGGCTGCCTCCCTGCCACCCCACCTCTGCTCTCACCAGGCGAAGAATGTCTTTTCCAGACAGCTTGGAAACAGCTTTCCCATCTTCTGCCAAGCCCACTGAGCCTCTTCTGGTCTTTGGTTGTAGCTTTGTTTCCTTTAGCTTCACACTCTCCTGTTCAGCGCATTTTCCAGGTTTTGGACAAACCTTTTCTATTTTCTTATTCTCTTTTATCTTTACTTTCCTTGCGCACGCCCCAGACCCAATCTGCAAACCATGGGATTGTGTTTAGTGTACTTCTGTATATGTCTTGCTTAAGGATATATGGTGTGTGTGTATGTGTGTGTGTGTGTGTGTGGTGTTTTGCAGTGCTATGGGTGGAACCTAGGGCCCTGTACATGCTAGACAAGTGCACTACCACTCACATTCCCAATCTCTGTGTGCCTTTAGAGACTTACAAAATACTATTGGCTAAAAATCTCTTTCTGTCCTCCCCACCCGCTCCAAAGCACCATGCTTTAAAAACCCATAGCTGTCGCTATGTGGACGTCTAATTCATTACTTTTGGTTGCTGCAAATATCCCACTGTGTGCCCGCACTACGCATTTCCATCCGCTCTCCATGTGCATTGTGCGTATGTGCATTGATTCAGTTCCGATTACACAAACACCAGGGCAATGAGTGTCTTTGCAAGGAGCGTTTCTGTGTGTGTCCCCTTAATCGTCTTTGTGATAATCTCTCTGGGCATGTACTCAAGAGCGGGATAACAGGGCCATAGGAGTGCATTCGCTGCGTTTGACCTCCGCATTATCAGATTACCCTCCCGCGAGGCTGCCCTGCCCTCAATCCCACCAGCAGCAAACCTTCTCTAGCACTCGGATTATCCAGCTGTCTAATCAGTGTTAACCTGCTGAGCGTCAAGTGGGATCTTATGGTTCTGTGAAAATATTTTTCTCTACTTACTATGGGTAGAATGTTTCTTCCGATGTTTCTTAGCCTTTTGGGTTTCCTTTAGATAGTTGCCTTTTCCTAGCCATTGCTGACTTTTCAACTGGGGTGTTTTCTTTTTCCTTCTGATTTACTGAAGCTTTTTGTTTAATCTAGATGTTAGTCTGCTCTTGGCTTTAGATAGGTGGATGTATCATCTCCTAACCTGTTAGCTGTGTCCATGGTGTTCTTTGTTATCTAGGAATCGTTCTTTTTGCAATTATCATATTCATCTTTTTTGCTTTATGGTTTGTACTTTTGAATTTTCTCAACCTTAGGCCACTGGCAAGGTCTTCTATTAGTTTTATTTATAGGTACTTCATATCTTAATGGATTAATAAATCCCTTAGGGAGTGCATCTTTCTATGTAACATGAGGTAAGATATTAGGGACCTGGCCAAGATCCCCAACTGCCTGTATGATGGGTACGGTGGAAGGATGAAATAAAACACAGACAAATTTAGTAACACATGACAGGGGCTGGGAGGCCAGCATCTCAGGATGGCAAAGAGTGACACTCAAGCTAGCCACTATTTATTGGGTGTACACAATAATCGAGGGAGTATTGGGTGACTCAGGGTAGCAGTGATCTTATACTGAGGTAATCTTGTGCTGGAGCATCTCAGCTTCGGGAGACCATTAAGGAGGCCTCTGGGCCCTACCTTCAACTTATAATTTGTGATCCTCAACAGTAAGGTCTAGTTTTATTTTTTCCATTTTACTAGTGAGTTAGGCATTTTCTTACTGGTCTGGGATAACTTTTTTTTTTTTTTTTTGACTAGGATCTCACTTTGAAGTTCAGGCTGGCCTGGACTCTCTATGTAGCCCAGGCTGACTTCAAAATCCGCAGCAATCCTCTTCCTGCCTCAGCCTCCTGAATGCTGAGAATACAGGCATGTGCCACCATGTCTGGCTGGTGTAACTTTTCTAACATACATGAAGTTTACAAAGGTTTATTTCTGAGTCTTCTTTCCTTCCTTTCTACCTTCCTTCCTTTCTTTTTTTGCTTTTTTGAGACAGGGTCTCGCTATGCAGTTCAGGCTGGCCTTGAGCTCACTATGTAGCCCAGGCTGGCCTCAAACTCATGGCAATCCTCCTGCCTCAGCCTCCCAAGTGCTGGGATTATACATTACCCAGCTCTGCTCCTTTCTTTCTGGTGGATTTGTGTTTTGTTTGCTCTTGGGCCCACAGCTGTTATTTCTATTATCAGGTTTTGTAGTGTGCCTCAATATCTAGCAGGGCTGCTTTCCTCTTTTTTTTCAAAGGTGACTCTGCCATTCTTGGCCCTTTATTACTCTATGCAAATTCTATGTTATTTATTTATTTTTTCTCACTTTATTTTTCAGTGATACATTTTAGATATACATAATGATCACATTCCTCATAGGGAATTTGTACTGGTACATGATATATCTCGCTTCTCTTTTTTTCTCCCATTCTCTTCCCCTCCCTTCAACCCCTCCTCCCCTCCTTATTTACAAAAACTGTGTTTCCATTTTTCCTTTTATTCTTTTTTTCTTGTCCCTTCTTTCCTTCCCTCCTCCCTGCTCTCCTGCTTCCAGGCAAATTTTAGAATAACTTCAATCTCTGAAAAATTTTCCCTTACCTTTTGACTAGACTTTCCATGGATTTACTGATTTCGGGAATAAGATGAACCTTTAACATATTCACAAGAGTGTAGAATGGCTCTTTGCATATTTGTAAAATCTTTTCTGCTTTTTATCAGAGTTTCAAAGTTTATGGAGATTCTATGAACTCCTTGAGTTAATGCCCAGACGTTTCACTGTTGCTGGGCA